TATACTCGAGTATATACGTAGGAAATAGCCCCAGGGTGGCAGTGGGGGACAGAGGGAAGTGATTTCTATAGTCAGAGGCGGGACAACTCATATTTATTGTTTCTCAGATATAGGCCTCCACTATGATACCATGTAATGTGGGATTAAGATGCATCCAGGTTCTACCTGTGCAACTGATTCTCTCTTTTGGAAGTACTCTTAAGATGAGTGTGGTGGCGCAGTGGTTAAAGTGCAGTATTTCAGGCTAACTCTGCCCACAAGTAGGAGTTCAATCCTGACCAGGTCAAGGCTGATTCAGCCTTCCATCCTCCCTCCCCAGTAAAATAAGGACCTAGATTGAGGGGGTCCTCAGAGCTTGCTTGTTTTCTTGAAGACGTTTCATTACCCTAACTATGTAACATCATTAGTGCTAGTAAGGAGTCTGTTTGCCCTGAGTTTATATTCTGGTGTCTTACCTGTCTGTGAGGGCGGATTCTTTAGTTGGGCTATTTACTAATGACTCTTTGGCATTATTTCATTTCAACCCTGAGCTACAAATATTCTCCTTTATTAGGACCTAGATTGTTGGGGACAATATGCTGACACTGTAAACTGCCCAGAGAGTGCTGCAAAGCATTATTGGGTGGTGTATAAGTCTAAGTGCTATTGCTACTGTTATGAGCTGATTTGGAATTTCACAACTAAACTTGAGTTATAGAGGCATACATATGTAAATGTAGACAAGCTGTTTGACATTTCACCTGCATCAATGCTGATACCCTGTTCAAAAGCTGCAAAGAACTGCTCCCCTTCAAACATCTCCACAATGTCAGATGGCTCAGGGCCTCGATATCGGTCATGGAGCTTTTTCAAAACAGGATCCACCTAAAAGACCATCAGAAAGGAATAAAGAAATGAACGTATTTTTAAAATCCTCATTTCTTTATCCTTGTATCACTTCAGTGGTAAGATTCAGGCTTCCAAGGAAATGAGCTCTCAGCGGGTTAATAAAATGCAATACATGTGATAGGAGCTCTCTATGTATCTCTAATCATAGACTCTAACATAACGAATAACAATTCCACAAAAGGCTGAAAAATATGCTAGTGTCAGCGCAATGGAAACGGTCTAAAGAACAGCAAAAATGTATATATGCTCATAGAAAATTGAAACAATATACCTAAACTCACTTATCCAAGTGGTGCAGCATCCAATAATAGTCTGATCAAATAATTAAGATTTCATCTGACAAGTTTCCTCTTCTCCCTCTGTGTTTGCTAATCTTACCTCCCCTAAAATTTATTGAAACCTTCAAATTGTTCCCTAGAACTGACATATTTTGGAATTGTGATCTTTCATTTGAACTCCAAAAGATCTGCTTATACATTTATCATCATCATCAGAGGGAGAAAAACGGCCCAATGGGCCGTTCCCGAACTTCCGGTTTACGGCCGGTGCATGCATGCGTGCTGGAGCTGACAGGGCGACACCTCGCATGCCCTCCATGTGCCAACTGTGACATGCATGCCATAGGTTTGCCATCACAGTCCTATACCATTTCAGACAAATGGACATCAAATCTCTTCTTAAAAGCCTCCAGTGATGGAGCATCCACAACTTCTGAAAGACAGCTGGTCTACTGGTTGACTGTACTCACTGTAAGGAGATTTCGCTTTAGTTCTAGGTTGCTTCTCTCCTTGGTTAGTTTCCATCTGTTGGTTTTTGTCTTGCTTTTTGGTGCTTTGGGAAAAAAGTTGAAACATCTCCCTCCCCCCCTCCTCTTCTTTGTGGCAGGCCTCAAATATTGGAACACTGCTATCATGTCATTCCTAGTCTTTCTTTTCTCTAGACTAGGCATGCCCAATTCCTGGAACTGTTCTTCATATATTTTAGCCTCCAGTCCCCCAATATCTTAATTGTTCTTTTCTGCACTCTTTC